AGGCTCCTACAGCTGAGTATTTTTGTCTTTATTGCAATTGTTCTAAATCACAAAGAGCAAATATGGAGCTCCAGTGGAGTAATGATTATAACTCAAAAACTAAAAGTAATTATTTAAATTTTATATGTAGAAAAAAATAACTAAATCAGGAAAATGGTGTTGTATATTATATTTATGCATATCCATGCCAATGCAGGTGATTTACATATAAAATATGCCAAACAGCATGTATAAAGTTCATATACATACATATATTATATTTGAATCACCTACATTTGTGCAGGGTATGCATAACCCATTTTTCTGATGTATATATTATATTATTTACATTTATTTATTTTCAAAAGGTTATAATTACTATTGCCTATTACCACTTGTTGATTATAAAAACTGGATACCAGATGAGCTCCATTTAATGCTAAGGATAAGTGATATTTTATTTGAATCTTTGTTTTATGATCTTAATCGTAACCCAAAAAAATTTGAAAAAGAAATTTCTAATCAAATAATTTTAGAAGCCAAAAGAATTGGAATTTCTAAATTTGAATTTTTTGATCTAAAAAGTTCAAAATTTAAATGGACAGGTTTAAATGGCACTCAAAAGTTAACATTTTTAGAAAATTTTCAGGCTTCTAAATTTTACAATGATGGAAAAGGAATAAAAATAGAAAATCTATGGAAGGAATTTATTAGATTATATAGGTTAATAAGAAGGTCTCTTTTAAGCGATCATGAAATAGATAATTTTCAAAATGACACAAAACAATGGATTCAAAACTTTTCAGAAATTTATCATAAAGAAGATGTTTCACCATATATGCATGTGCTCTCCATGCATATACCACAGTTCATTAGAGATTTGAAAAGGCAAGAATTATCCTTGCTTCTATTTTCATCTTCCAGTGTTGAAAAAAAGAACCATCATCATGTTAAATTATTTTACGGTAAAACTTGTATGGGTGGTGGCCAAAAAAAAAAACAATCAGTAGTTTATGATCTCTTAAATTTTGAAAATAGACAACTATATTATTTAAAATACAACATTCCTCTTTTGTTTAAGAAAAAGAATATTAAAATAGATTTAAGTGAAAATAATTAGTTGCAACTAGAATGACAAACACATATGGATATTGTACATTGATATGAGGTATTTGATTTTTCTTGCCCAGGAAAAAATAATCACAAATGAAAATAATTTTAATTTTTTTTAATTTGAATTTACATTAAATTCCACCTTACAAAACCCACACTTCATATTATTTAAAAATTTTTCTTTCCAAATAAATTTAATTTCTGGCTTCACAACTCCATCTTCTTCCATTACAATAAAAGAAATTGTTCCAGTTGTGATATTTATTTTTTTCCACCATTCATCATTGTTTAATATTGAACTAAGATCATTTCTCCCATCAGTATTTTTAAATATACAAATATAACATCTTTTTGCTGGTGAATAAGAAAAATTATTTTGTGAAGAAAAAAGGTTTGCAAAAATGTTTTCTGGAAAAGGTTCTAACACAAATCTTTTAAACCCTACACTATGTCAACTAAATCCTAACTTATTTTGTATATTAATTATAATGCATTGTTTTAAAATCTCAACATCATCAGGTGATGATAAAATGGGAAAGTGTGGAACTAATTTATTAAATTTGTGAAATTTGTTTTCATGGTTTTTTAGAGTAGCTTTTGACCTTAATGATTTTCCACATAAAGTACAAGTATAATTGTTATAGTGTTGTGATGGTGGTATGATTAATATTGATGATTGTGATGATGATGATGCTGTTGGCATTAATGTTGATGATGTTGATGTTAATTGTAGTGTAGTTTCTGAACAAGAAGATGATGTAGGTTGACTTTCTGGATTTGGAATAATTTTTGTTATGTTTGAATGTGAAATTATTTTTGATGGAGACATACCTACAGTATTTATTTATTAAGTTAAGCTATTTATTAATTAAATCATAAAGTCAAATTATAATATCCAACAACCAAAAAAACCTGTTTCTGGTTTTCACTCAATATATTGTCATTGAAATTATATTGTCATAGTAGCAAAACGTTTATTATTATTATTTATTGTAGTTGAATTGAACCTTGCTCAACAACGTTTATTTTTTCATAAAAATAACTGTGTAACGACCACGCGTGATATTTAAACGTTTTGATCTGCAGATCAAACAAATCGGCCTGTATGGATAAAAAAAAATATATTTGTGTTACAGTTGCACTTGCAAATTTAAATTAAGACACAAATCACATTATCTGTATTACTCCAAGAAGTATTTAATTGATTGATTGATTAATAACTTTCCTGTAACAACCTTTGGTTAATAAAATAAACACATTTTACCTTATTACGAATTTTTGCATAGTTAAAGAGGAAAAGCTACTGTGAATTGTTCCATGATCCTTTCTGATGATTAATGGTCTGGCCAACCTTTAATTATTAGTTAGGACACCTTTAATTTTACTATGTTGCTTGTAGGGACATCTTAAGTAGTATGGTTGTAAATATTTTTTGTATATAATCTCATCTGTGCTTGCAACAGATTGGAATAAGAATGACCAGATATCCCTGAAGTGATGTCGTTTGGTAGCTAGCATGAATAATCTCTCTGTCATCAACATTCATCTCAACTTTTTAATTATAATAATAAAGAAATGAAAATTTGTATAACTTGGTATAAAAAATGTTGGCCATATCATATTTAATGTCATCATACTTTCTGTTTTATTTTTAATATAGTAATTATTTATTAATTATATTTATTTTATTTTATTTCAAAGCTATATGTGCAATGAAACCATAGATGTTGATAACCTGGATGCTTTACAAAATTTCGAATTGCAAACAAAAGGGAATGGATTCAGCAAAACTTAATAGTCATTCATGAAGTTATCAATCATTCAATTTGCTTCAAGATTATTATGGTCCATTAATTTATGATAATCTAGAACCATGGCTAATATCTGATGATGATATTGCAACAATTGAAAAATCTATGCTTATATCTATATTGAAAAAAAGGATTTGGATTAAAAGAAACAATGTTTGGGATTATAGTCATTAATAGAGACAGGACAAATCAAAAGTTTGGAATAAGATGAACATTCACCAAAATTTAAAAGCCAAAAATTAAATTTCGAGATATTTCAAAGAGTTGAGGAATATCCTTGTTGGTATTGTACCATTAGTAAAATTCAATCAAATCAAAATCACTCCTACAGAGATTCATGAAAAAATAAAACCTTATAAAAAAATAATTGTTGAAGAGATATACGAAGACATTATGCAATCAAGAATAAAAGAGGGAAAATAAGAACGAAAGGTTTAATATCACTTTTAACAAAGAGAAAAAATTATTGATTAATGATGGTACTAATCTTGGTTATAGTAGAAATATTAATAACAATAGTGACAGTAATAATAATATTGGGTTTTGTTGTGGTGGTGATAATAATAAAGAGATGATTATAATAAATCACATATGACAATTGAAGAAAATCAATTTATTGAGAATTTATTGGAATCTAATAATAAAAAATTTGGAAGTGTTAATTTCACTTTAACAAATAAAAAACCAATTACTATCTTCAAAATCTACATTTATGTCTACATCCACATCTACCACAAATAATAATAAGCCAACAAAAAGAGTATCAGCTTTGTAATTATTATATATTTATTCCAAGAAACTAATATATATGTATATAGCTCAAAGCATATGCCAGGAAATGAGATAAATTATTAAAGTTCGATGCCATTCATTAATGTCAAAAATTGATTATTGGTATAGCATCAGCAACAAAGCCAACAGTACTATTGCACAAAGCTCAAACGTAGAATCAACAACAAGTGCATTATCGACTACTAGTTCACTTGTTTCTGAATTTGCTGAGGGCATGCAAAACCATGTAATTATAATCCGGTTGAATATATTAGATTCATAATAATATTTATATACTACTTTTTTTAAAACTCTTGTCCGTTTTTTTGATAGTTTGTAATTACATAGTAATTCAACAAAGAGTAAAAAGCGGAAATTAATTATTAAAAAAGTAGTATTTGAAATATAAAGTAATGAAAAAGACTTGATTGAAAAGTTTGAAAAACTTTATCAAAATTAACAATACTAGAAAAAGGTAGAAGCACACATCCAAACAATGTGTTAATTTTTTAGATTGCGCATTAAAAATTATGATTGCAGAGAGTATTGGTGCAAAACTCGCTTGATTCGAACATGATCTAGAAAATGAAAAAGAAAATTACTGAAAAAACAGCTCGTGTCTGGTTGAAAAAACTTGGATGGAATCACAGAAAGTTTGTAAAGATATCTACATAAGAGACCTGATGCCATCCTGGCTAGGGAAATTTTAATTGGAAATCCATTTGAATAGAGGTTGGTACCTTAATCACTTAACCGCGCGGCTAACCATCTATCTTGGTGTTACAAAATTTTATCCAACAAGAATATAGAAAAATACCAAACATATTATATATTCACATACAGTATTTATAATGATGAAATAAATACGGGCGATGCTTGCTGCCGCTAGAGTTTACTGCATGCTCCAGAGAGTATCGATCTTTACTTTTTTCTTTTGAGTGGGCTTGTGACTAGAGTTTCTTCTATTCGTAATACAAATTCTTATTCGAATTATTCATAATAATAATAATAATAATAATAATAATAATAATAATAACACAACTCAATCTTAATTCGAATTTATACGTTTTATTCGTTTATTCAAATTATTCGTTTTATTTGTTTTACTCAAATTATTCGTAATGCAACTCAATCTTAATGTTAATTTGACTGTACGGGTTGTTACACGATAAATTTAATATGTATATATGACACTCGATCTGCAATGTCCTGCGTTATTACAGTGTAACAAAAAAATTGGAAAATTTATCGTGTGTTTTAAACAGTTGCCATTTGCCCAACCAAATAATGTCACGAAGTTTTCAGAATAAACGCGAGATATTGTTTTATATATATTTTTTTTTTACCTAAAAACAAAATAAGCAAATTAACAAGAAGCTTATGTAAAAAGATAGTGGAAAAATCCTAAGAAAAAATATGGAAAGTGGGGTGTGATAGTATCATACAATGGGAAAAGGAAACAGGAATTACATACAATGGAGCAGAAAGTGGAAAGGTTTAACAGTAATAATAATAAGAATAACAGTAGAAATAGTAGTAATAATAGATCTATTAATAGAAGCAATAATGAGGATAACAACAACAACACTAATAATAATAATACTAGTACTGGAAGTAGTGATGGGAATTTTTAACCCTACACTTAATAACTCCAAGTTATTAATAGTTAATAACCACTTATTAACTGTTGCACTCTGAGTGAGAGTTATTAATC